TCAATACACCTGGCTAGTTACTCAGAATTATACTTTCTAAGCATGTCTGATTATTTTGTTTTTGTTTTCTAGATCTGCCTTCTATTTCTGACATTTCTATTGCGGACACCCATTAAGTTAGCATGCTCCCTTCCTTTGCAATTATATGGTAAATTTGTTAACTTCCATACAGCACTATTATATTTGTGAAGTTTCCATATTTGTGAATATGGTGCTATTTTAACTGTCCAACCAAAGATTCATTTGCCTTTCTTGTTTATCTGTGAGACAGAATGCTCCATAATTTGTTCTAAACTGCTAATATAGGGATCTCGGTTTTGTTTTAAAATGGCTGAATGTTACTTTCATTCAGTTTTTAATTAGCAATTTATTGTGGATCTGTCTTAGAGCAAGCTGATAAGATAATATTCACCCAAAAAACTATGCAGTTGTAGTAACATTTTAATCACTTTAGCCTATAGTGTTTTGTTGTTTCTGATACGATTAAGTATTCACTTAATTCTACTGTAACTGAAACATACTAGCAAATGAATCACTTGCTCATAAAATAGTACTACTGCTTCAGTTACTATACTATTGCTCTTGAACAGTAGTACTGAGCTTTCTTACGTAGATCTCTCAATGGCCTAAAACAAATTTTCACATAACCCAGTTTAAACACCCATCTGAAAAGATTTTCTTTAAATACTGTTTTCCTGCCACAAAATCTTATGTTTATCAATCTCAATAAACAGTAATGCTTCTCCACGTTAACATTTTTGTGACTTAGACTAGAGCAGGGGTGTCAAACTAGATTTCTTGGAGGGCCAGATCAGCATTGTAGTTGTCCTCCATGGGCCAACGGCGGGGAGGAGATAGGACGGACAGTCTGTTTTTGGCCTGGATGGCCTCCTGCAGAACCTTTCTATCCAGGCCAAAAATGTGCCGCAGGAGGCTGCTCACTGCCCCACCCCCCATGTCCTGTTTTGGCCAGCAGGGTGTTGCAGTAGGCTGTCCAGGCCAAAAATGGGCCATGGGGGGAGTTTCCATCCCCACCATGGCCCATTTTCGTTCGCAGAGGCCAGTCCTTTGCTACTTCCAGGCCAGCCCCACAGGCCTGATCTAAGCACCCGATGGGCCGGATTTGGCCGGCAGGCCTTCAGTTTGACACCTGTGGGCTAGAGTTAGGAAGAAAAGGTTTTCCTTTGTCTTCAAAGTGTCTGACATCAAATTATAGTTAGCAAAATGCTGCTCAAGATCATCGAGAACCCTACATGAGATGAGGAAATGGCAGATATTCAAGCAAGTTTCAGAAAGATAACACAGCTGATAACTGAAAGGCCCCCAAAATATTGAAAATAAATGTCAATATGTACTTCAGCTATCACAGAAAGGCCTTTGAGTGTGTTGACCTTATTAATATCTCCTTGGGAAAAAGGAAAACCCAGAACATCCCACTGTCCTCATGTGAAATTCACAGATAGAACATAAAGTGCAGATTCAACAAGTTGAAACAGACTGGATCCAGGTCAATAAAGGAAAAAAAGACAAAACTACACTTTTGCTTCATTTATAGAGATATCGATAAATATTGAATATATACTATGTATGTAATGTATGTAATATACTATTATATATGAGTTGAACATATATTGAGTGAAGCTGGATTGGAATAATATGAATTTAAAATTTGAGGAAAAAACATTAATATCTGTGTATGTCACTAATCTGATAGGTAAAAATCAGAATAATCTGCACACTCCGCCAGTGAAACCAAAGACACAGTAATAATAATGGAGATATGATGAAATATTAGGAAGAATAAACTAGGCTAATATTAATAAAAATACATAAAAATATATTCCTAGTTTTAAAGTTGTTTCTATATTAATATCATGTGTGTGTGTGTGTGTGTGTGTGTGTGTGTGTGTGTGTGTGATGGTAAGTGTTCTATATTAACATTCTCGAAAACCTGAACTCTGATTGGTCCACACGGACCGCAATCTGAATGGCTAACTTGGCCGCCGTGATTGGTGCGCCGAGACCCTCCCGCGATTGGCCGAGCCGATCACGGGAGAGTCAAAGCCCTGTCATTGGCCGCCGAGCCGCCGGCCGGCTCTATAAGAAAAGCCACGTGGCTCGCAGGTCCTATACGAAACTATACTTCAATAAAGAGCTGAAGTTCACTTTGAGTCTCGCGTCTCAATGAACCCAATCTACCTGATCTACCAGTAAGAGGACTGAATGGAGAATGAGATTAACTATGTTAAGACAAAATGTCTAGCTGAGCTTTTTCATCACAATAACAAGTGTATCTTCCCTTCCATTGTGTTCAGAGGAGACTACTTCTGTTTCATATTTGAACAGCAATTTTGTTAATGAAGTTTAACCATGGCTAACTTTAAAAATGATTAATGTTAACAACATCCATCTTAAAGTGTATTTATTGCAATTAAGATTAATAAAACCTAATCCAGGTTCAAATAAGATAATTTGATCTACATTTTTAAATTATACTTTCTAGATTTTTATGTAAATTGAATCACAGGTACCCTACAGCTTCTACCCACATGGAATCTGCGATGATATTGTCTGCTCAGAAGCTAGCATTCAAAAATGTTAATATTTATGGAAACCTTCTTACAGACATGCATTTATGAGAAGAAAATACAGGGAAGCAAAATCATATAAAATGTAAAACGAAGTTATTTTTATATCTTATAAAAACTTGCATTTTAAAAATGAAATATATAAAACAATGCAGAATCCTGAATGCAACAGAGACTAAATTAACATGACAATAAAACTACCCGCACCTTTTAAGCTCTGGCTGATTAGTATTGGAAGCAGCTTTGTTTGTACTTTGCATAAGAAATATTTCTAGGCAATATAATAGATTTTCATATCCAAATTTAGGGAGAAAAAAAATCCCACAATCAAATTACTTTTCCAATGATAAGCTTAGTGGCAGTTGCTGGATAAATTGGGGGGACACATAAACATTGCAAAGTACTATCTGTTCATAGAGAAGGAAACAAACTAGGGTAAGTGGTAAAAAATCAATTAACTGAATAAAAAGTTGTCAACTGAATTAATATTAAGGGTAGATGAAAATAACCCTGTCAGATATTGGCTTCCCAAAGTATTACATGGATTATACACGTATCACTCATTAAAAAAGGACACTTTATCAGGAAAAAAAATCCCAATCAGAGCTAAAAAGGAACATAACAGCAAATTAGCCTCAGACCATTTTTTTTTTTTTGGCTGTTTACCTCACAGAAGTAAATTCAACCTCAAAACCTTTGCCATTAACAATTTTTAACCATAGGAACATTAATTGACATTCTTATCTGAGACAGATTCAAAATTGCAGTTTGAAGATTGAAACTTAAAATTTAAATTTAAATTAAAGTTGGTTGGATCCTGCTTCATAAGAAGCAAATCTACTCCTAAACAGAAAAGAGTCAGAAAAGGAAAGGAATATTCACATTTATACAATATCAGAATATTATTATTTTACCATTTAATTAGGTTTCACTGTAGCCAGTAACATGTGCAGGAGCCTATTAAGAAATAACATCCACATGCCAATTATGGAAACATTTGTATTTTCGTTGAATAAAATGCAAAAACCTTTATACCTAAATATTATTACAGTTACACATATTGATGAAATACTGAAACAATGGCATTAAGAAAAACCGAAGGCAAAAATCTATCAAGTTTGCTCTGTGATGATCAGTCCAATTCAACCCTTTATACATAATCTGTTTTCAAAATGAAATGTTCACATGTTGCATTCAGATGGCCTGCTTTTCCACAGAGAAAGTCATTAAGCCTACATGTAGTCCACAACTAATGACTACTACTGAGATGTGAATTTCTGGTATAAATTGATGCAATTGTAATATGAGTCATCAGGTGACAAGACCAGATCTTGCAACCATTTTTACCATTGTGGTTACACAAATCACATGGTCATTAAGCAAATCCATTCCCCAATAGACTTTTTTTGTAAGAAATTGGCTGGGGTCATTAAAACTGGATGTAAAGGCAACCCAGTTGCCAATCACCCCAAACTGCAGTCAAGTGATCAGGTTGTAAGTGAAAGGAGGTCATAAATCACTTTTTTTTAAAATCACTGCAACTTTGAACCTCCATTAAATGATGGTCACAAGTCAAGGACTACCTATATTCCACTTTATGAGTGAATCAAACCTTCCAAGAATCATCTACAACAGGTTCTACATGGAGAACACCCAGAAGCTTCAATAGCGCCAGAATGTTCTCACACATATCATATTTTATTTTCATATGTTTTAATTTTAATTGTAGTTTCTTTGTCTATTGTGAGCCACTCAGAATTGTTGAGAGTTGGCTGACATACAAGTCTAATTAATTAATATCAATAATAATCCCAGTCCAATACATTATAGTTTCTGGTACTCTGTAAAAAAAAAGTCATCCTATTTCCTCCATCCTCTATGATTTTTAACTTATTAGCCAAAGGTATACAACATAATATATGTTAAATTTACCTTGAATCAAGGCAAGTGCAAAAGCAAAGGTATAATGCAAAAAGCCTTGTAATAAGGTTAGGATAAAAATTCACACATACTTTAATATACACCTTGTTATGTTGCAACTTTGCTTTTCCTCTGGGTCAGTTAGAAGATGAATTTCTATTAATTAGCACTAGGTCTTCACTTCATTATCATAAGGCAATTTCATTTGCAGCTGCTGTGTCAATTTTTCTCTTTAAAACAACCTTATACAACCATTTACATAACCTGCCAAGCCAGGCAAACTATGCAGCATTTGTAAAATATCTCATTAAAACAATTTCTGTCCTATTGAAAAATATAGTCTTTAATGTCAACTATGCTTATTGTGATGGCAGCATATAACCATACATCTCTACCCATCAAAGCTTTCTAGCTATCATGGAATCTACCATTTTTAACCAATAATTATCAATAACTGTCCAAGAAAGTAGGCAGGCATACATAGCAGCTTACCTTAGAATGCATAGGCACACTTTGCCTCCTGATGTTAAACGACAAAATCCAAATCTTTGCTTGCTTTCAATGTCAGTAAGCACAAAAGTAAAATGCTGTCCAACTTGCGTTACCCTAGGGGGAAAAACAGTGTTAGGAGGCACTTCCTTTGACATTAAAAAACAAAAATGCAGAAAATTAATATTAATATTATTAGTTTGTTATCATAAAATAGTTTTATAAAATAAAAAAGACAATTTAAATCAAATCTAAGTAATATGGAAAATGATATGAAAAGACTTTGGCATGATCAGACATAGATGTAGTATAGTAGTCTTCACTTAGCACAGGGGTGTCAAACTGGCGATCCGCGAGCTGGATGCATCATGTGCAGGCCATGTGCACCCCGGTTCCGCAAAGGCAAAAAAGTCATGATACGACACGTGACATCACATGACGAGATCAAGTTTGACACCAGTGACTTAGCAACTACTTCATACAGCAACCATTCGTAGTTACAAAGCGATAACCAAGCTGCATTTATGACCCTTGCAAGTCTGTAAAGCAAATGAAATCTGAAGTAAAATCATAAGCATAATTGGGGTTTCACTAGCAACAGCTTCACTTAATGACCTAATTGCCAATCACAACTGAGATTGCTAAACAATGATTACCTGTATAACTTTTTTTAAAGAATGTAGAATGTTTGTACTTAAAAGAATAGCAGGAAATTTCTAGATAAAAATTTCTAGAAATTTCTAGAGCTTTAGTGAAAAAAATGCTGTTGGTAGTATGAATATTAAAATATTACTTTGTAACAGGAAATAAAGAATTTAAGACGTTAAATTTTTACTTTGACCAGAAGACCTTAAAATGGAGATTACAGTCTTGTGAACTGACTCTGGTATCCAAATTACAAACCAAATACTAAGGGAATACGGATTTTTAAAGTAGCCGACACTAACCATTAAAAGGAAATGTAACTTTTTAAAAAAGTAAATAGTGCTCCAAACTGTTTTCTAATAAAACCTAATGTTATTGTACGTTTCTCTCTCTTTTTGTTTATATATGTGTTTAATATAATCTTAATAGCCAAAATAATAAATCATTGATCAACATATTCATCAATCTTGTTGACTACAAAGGACTTTTTCAAGGTCACTATAATAGATGGCAACATTTTAGATACATATTTAAACAACAGGGTATACTCTGACAATGGGATAGATAGGGAGTTTTTCTATTTCTATATTTATTATCAAGACATAATTTGAAGTTTTCTTGGAGGGCAGATTAAGGATTACTCTTTTTATATATGGATATGTAGTTATCAACATCAAATATGAGTTGTTTGCCCTTCTACAGGAAAAAAAAACATTTTCCTGTAGATTTATATGAGTCTGTGTAATTGTTCAAGAATGTGTAGTCATTCATGTGACAGAAAGATTTACATAAAAGTTATGAGCTGCTTATATGCCTTTGATACTGTTTTCATTAGCATATATAGTAAACTTTCCAGTTTTACAAAAACAAATGTTCATAGCTTAAAAGTACAGCTAAGATAAAGACAAAAAGTTGCAAAATGAAAAATGATATGAAGAAAGTAAATAGGGATTTTTTCCAACACAGAAGCAAATGAAGACAAAGTAACTTCATAAAAAAGGACAATCTCAATGAATTGAGAATTATTTTGACAAATATCCTTTTGTGTTTTGCTAGTTGAAAATTATGTATGATCCAAAAATGATACTTCTATATTAATATTCATTCTACTTTCTACAGCTTAGTTCATACGTTTAACTTTAATATTTTCATTAAATGATAATATATTCCAGTGGTTGCCAACCGGTGGGCCGCGAGAAAATTTTGGTGGTCTGCAGAGAAATGTCACCCCCAGAGCACCCCCCAAAGCAATTAATCCAGGCTGCGCGGGAACACAAGGCTGCACTGCCCACATGGTCTGCAGGAACCCTCCCCCTCCACTCACTCCTTACCTGACAAGCTTGCCTACTAAGTTGCTATTTTTCCTTTTTTCTTTTCTGCTGTGCCAGGAGATTTAGATTAGCTAGAAAGCAGGAAATTATTGGTTTTCTTGCTTTCTAGCTGATCTTTAGCTCTTTAACTCTACTTTTAAACAGAGCCAAATCTTCCTTAGGACTGAAGCAGTGCAGACTCAGGTAGCCGATGGCAGAAACATAGATCTCTGAGTGAATCTGTGATTCTGTGAGCAACTCAATTTGCCTGCCTGCTTTGCCTGCTTTTGGGTAACTGTTGCTCTTTTTTATAAAAAAATTCAATATTTACATAAATATTTATAATATTCATATATAAGCCATGCCCAGCTAGTCACATGACCACCAAGCCACACCCACAAATTAGGCCACGCCCACAGAACTGGTAGTTAAGACATTTGAATCCCACCCTTGCCTCTGTGTGTGGGGGGGGAGGGGGAGAGAGGTTAGATCAGATCTCTCTCTCTCTCTCTCTCTCTCTCTCTCTCTCTCTCTCTCTCACACACACACACACACACACACACCAAGGTCAGCAAGCCACCGTCAGTCAAAATTCATATTAGTGGTCCCGGGATTTAAAATTATGAGTTCGGTGGTCCCTGAGGTCCAAAAGTTGGCGACCCCTGATATATTCTACCTTTAATATTTAGTACTTATATATATCATAAGTAAAACATATTGGAAGAGCAAAGAGAACTCGGTAAGTTCTAACTATTTTATTCCATATAGCTGGTATGTCAAAAATCCACTGCAAACCACTTTCTACAGCAGGGGTCTTCAAACTTGACAGCTTTAAGATTTATGGACTTCAACTCCCAGTATTCCTTCTCAGTCATGTTAGCTCAGGAATTCTGGGAGTTGAAATCCACAAGTCTTAAACTTGCCAAGTTTAAAGATCCTTGTTCTACAGTGAATGCATAATACAAGTATATTATCATTAATTCTGAAGCTATACTCTATGAACCAACTTAAATTGCCCGGGCTTTGCCGAGTCTGGATTTTAGAAATTACTACCTAAACAGCCACCATTTATACTGAAAATTTTCATGTTTTCTAATATTTACTAGTGCATAATGTGACATTATGAAAGAATTTGAATCTTTAACCTTAAATTATGTTTCTCAATAATACAAAGAATAGCTAATAATGTCATCACATCTTTTGCTTTCACAGCATAGACATTACGAATTATTTTGAAGCTACAGTATACAAAAACGCTATGAGCTTCCTTCTCTTGCTTACTCCAAATTATAGGAAAGCCATGTCACTCTATGAGAATACAAAATTGGAAAAGAAGTCTGGTAGGACCTTTTCAACTAACAAATTAAAAGGCATAATCTTGTATGATCTATTGCTCATTTCATTAGATGTAACGGAGTAATTACATTGATATAGGATATAACTTTGAGATGGAGTAAGAGGGTGGGCTCGATGTGTCTATTGATCTCATTGGGCCTCTGAATGCCTGATTTATTCTACCGTGTTTAAATGCCTGATTTATTAAATGCCTGATTTATTCTACCGTGTTTCTCACAAAATAAGGCCGGGCCTTATTTTTTTTGGACCCCCGAAAAAACGGCTAGGCCCTCTTTTCAGGGGTGACTTAATTCCCACCCTTGCACCCTCGGATGGGCAGGCAGCGACAGCTTGGATGTTGACCTTGGCGTTGGTGGAGCACTTCGTATTGGGAGACCTTCCACCACTGTTGCTTTCCCTTCTCCCTTGCTGCTGTGGCATTTACAGCAACACCGTGGCATTTGGCGCAGCCACGTGCGGCCAGCCAGGGCTCCTCCCTGCAACCAGAGCCCGGCGGAGACACTCGGCTTCAGGCGCTCCTGTCACCGTCTTCCCTTTGCCTTCAAAGGTAAAGCCAATTACTTTAAAAATGATGCCCTACTACAACAAAGACTCCCCTGCCTGAGAGGGCAGCCCAACCCCACATGGGGAGGTGAATCTCCCCGGGTCGCAGCACAGGATCGGCCCACCTTGGGAGAAGCGCCCAGCTGCCATCCCTGCCTGGTGCCAGGCAGAGCGCGAAGAGCTTCACCTGGGGTGCCCAGCACAGCTGACAGGCCGTCCCTCTTTCCCGGCAGCAGAGCTCTCACCAAGGCGAGCGCCTCACCGCCGGACCCTCCGCTCATCCCGCCAGGGCCATGCGGGCTGGGCAGAGCCAGGAAAGCGAGCCGCGGATGCACGCCCGCCTGCCAAGCAAAAGAGCCGGGCTGACTTGAGCTTGGCTTCCTTCCCAAGCCCCTCCAGTGCGAACCCGAAGGGGCCACTGGGAAAGGCTGCCCGAGGCAGTGATAGTGCCCACCCGTTCGCAGACAGGGAGGAGAGGTGATGGAAGCGCTGCTTCCCTGGCCGGCAGAGAGAGCCTGAAGCCGCCCATCCTTTCCACCGCTCACCCAGCCCATCCCCATCCCCATGCATCTCCAAATGCACCGGCAGTTCCAAACACTGCAGCGGAACGGGCATCAGGCAGAGGCGCTGACTCGGGGGGGGGCAGCTCAGAGGAGGACGCGGCGCAGGCTGTTGCCTTGCCTCCCTGTCCACAGATGGGTGGACGCTATGACTGCCTCGGTGGCCCCTTCGGGTTCAGGCTGGAGGGACTTGGGAAGGAAGCCAAGCTTGGGTCGGCCCAGCTCTTTGGCTTGGCAGGCGTGCGTGCACCCATGGCTCGATTTCCTGGCTCTGCCCAGCCCGCACGGCTCTGGCGCGGCTCTGATGGGATGAGCAGAGGGTCCAGCGGGGAGGCGCTCATTGCCTTGGCGAGTGCTCTGCCGCCGGGCAGGAGAGCCCACCTGTCAGCTGCGCTGGGCACCCCAGGAGAAGCTCTTGACACTCTGCCCAGCACTAGGCAGGGATGGCGGCTGGGTGCTTCTCCCGGGGTGGGCCGATCCTGAGCTGCGGCCCCAGGAGATTCACCTCCCCACGTGGGGTTGGGCTGCCCTCTTGAGCAGGGGAGGCTTTGTCATACCGGTAGTAGGGTGTCATTTTAAAAAGAATTGGCTTTGCCTTTGAAGGCGAAGGGAAAGCGGTGACAGGAGCTCCTGAAGCCGAGTGTCTCTGCCAGGCTCTGGTTGTAGGGAGGAGCCCTGGCTGGCTACGCATGGCTGTGCCAAACGGTGCGGCATTGGTCTAAATGCTGCGGCAGCAAGGGAGAAGGGAAAGCAACGGTGGGGGAAGGTGTCCTGATACGAAGTGCCCCACCAACGCCAAAGTCAACGCAGGCAGCACCATATCCAGGTATGCAACAAAAGTACTTCCTAACGGCAAGCCCCCCCACGCCATTCCCCCCCCCCATTTTGCATGTTTAATATAAGCCTTAATTTGGGGGGAGGGGCTTAATTTGATTTTATGCCAATAAAACATGCTGGGCCTTCCTATTGGTGGAGGCCGTATTGTTGGAGAAACATGGTATCACTTGAGCATCTCAAATGATGGATCAAAACATGTAGCTGAAGCCTAAAATCTAGCTATAAATGCTACATTTGGTAGTACATTGGATGAAAGCATGTAGGATGCAAGGAGATGTGTAAGTTTTCTATATAACATGGTATTTATGTCTCCATAGTATAGTTTTACCATGACATCAAAGAAGTGGACTCATTCTGTAGATCAGCTGGTGATAAGGAAGAAGTTGATATCATGATAAAATGTACTGAAAATTCTTTTCCATGGCTCCAGATAATGAAAATCTCATAAACATATCTCCAATAAAGGAAGTAAATGTTACAATATTATTTGATCAACTGTGATGGAAATTGTAAGTCCTTTTAGTAGTGTCTCAAATTTGGTGAATATTGGTGAATTAAGCATGATTGACAGTATTTATAGATGAATTCCAAATCATATTTGTCTAATAAATATAAATCTGGGAATGCAATTAGCTGATACTATTAAAATGAGTTTTTGTATTTTTGTTCTCTTTTTTAATGTGTCAGATTTGCTTAAATATTTTCAAAAATATTGGCTTTGAGATGCTTTTTCTTGTAGAAAAATGACAAAAGTGATGGAATTGCTAGGAACAAATTGTTTCAGTTATTATAGCTCACATAATTCTACCACTGACTAAATAAGCAATAGAACAAACATTCCTCACTAATTTAATAAATGAAAACCCATAGAAGAGAATTATTTGTCATTCAGACTTGGAAGTGTGGGGTCTTTGGTGCACTCTGAGTTTAGTTTTTTTTTCCCCAGATGTTTCATTAACAAATTAGTAATGTATCAAGAACCCTACAAATGAAAACCTCTCCAAAATATAATATAATATAATTTTATTTATTTATTTATTTATTTATTTAATTTGTTTATTTATTTATTGCATGTATTTATTTATTTATTGCATTTTTATTGCATTTATTTGCTGCTCATCTGACAGTTCAGGAATTACATATCTAATCACTGGAAACCATTCTGTCAGCAAATGGTCAAATGAAACTTTTAAAATAGCTACAGAGAAGGAAAAATATAAATCAATCATAAAATGATCCAATGTCTTAACAAGCCACAAAGTTTAGAACTACAAGATAGTTCAGAACTATTTTTCTATTTGCAGCTGGTGATCTACAGATCTAAGCATTAAAAAAATATTTTCACTGTTAAGGACAATGAAATTATAATTGCATTTGACAATGAAAAGGCAGGATTAATTTCACTTTAATTAAGCATGATTTCTTCTAATTCATTGAACAAACTCTCAAGTTAGTTGACTTTTGTTAGTCTACCTCCTGTCTTAGATAAAATCTCTACACAGATTTTAGCTTCCAAGTGACTGTTCTACTTAGCACTATATTAATTCCTATATTCAAATATTCTCCTTCATAAACTGTATTACATTTCTATGTTCTCCTTTATAAACTGATAATTTATCCAGTTGTAGAGCTGATCAAGTTTTAATTAATTTTGATACTTGACTCAATTATTCTCCTACGCTTTTACCTTAACTACTTGATAAGCAAATAGTTTTTTCCTTGACTGTGAGATCTGAATATCAATTTAAATTAATCTAATCCAGGTAAGGAGATAAAAACAGCCATTATGCGATGATTCATCATTGTATTATGTCACATTTAACCTGTTCAAAGAATACTGTATATGTGTTCACAGAATGATTTGAATGATTTTTTTGAAACTGTTAACATTAATATTTATACATATTCCTGAATACATAGGGGAAAAATGTGGTATTTAAATTTAAAAATAAGAAAATGGCACTCATTAAGAATTTTTTTATCAAGGGCTATATCATTGCAATTTTTATTTTAAAAGCTCTCACCTCAAACATAAAGAATATTTTTTAAGTTGAAGTTTCAAAAAAAGCAATATCACTGTAATTCTCTATCATAAAGGAAGTTATACTGTAAAATATATAAACTGTAGCCTCTCCTTGGGCCTTTTCTTCCTTGCCTCATTTGGTTGTTAAGATTCAACATTTATTTTGGTCTTCTTCCAATAACTTTCACACTTTTGAAATAAAAGTCTGTTCTAATCTATAAGTAAGGTGTTTTTTTTTTATTCTAGTGTCCCAAAGGTGCTTTTTCAAGAGGCACCTGGACTTTCTGGTTTTTCTTTGAAGACGTTTCGCTTCTCATCCAAGAAGCTTTTTCAGAGCTAAAGAAGCTTCTTGGATGAGAAGCAAAGCATCTTTAAAGAAAAACCAGAAAGTCTATTTGCCTCTTGAAAAAGCACTTTGGGGACAACCATGACCTGGATAACTGAGAATCTCCTTAGATATCTTATTCTAAATTGTTAAGAAAGACAGAAACCATTAGCTATGAGAAGCAGCTGGATGATCTTGGACCAGTCACTCTCTTTCAACCCAATCCATCTCACAGGGTTGTCATTGTGTGGAAAATAGCACCCATATATCTGCCACCTTGAATTATTTGTAAAAATAATGAAGATGGGATAGAAATAAATAGACAAACAAATAAACATTTCTTCCTAGTTACATAGGCCTTAAAGTGTCCACTCAAATATTGCCATTTTATTCATAATGTATGCATAGTTTATAATTGAAAATATCCTGGACCAATTGTTTTATAGTACAGTGATTAATTTTTAAGAAAACCTTAACTGCTTCATTGTTTCTAATTTTCTTCATTTGTAGTTGTTGATTTAGTAACCAGTAGGTTTTAATGCTTTACCAAGAACACTATCTTAACTATATTAAGTTATATGCATTTTTACTTTCTTTTCAACTTTTCAGTAGCTCCTCTAAATTCAGTGGGTAAGATAGACTGCATAACACATATATGCAGATCTGAAGAACAGGGAGCATTTCCAATGCAAATCTATTTTCAGATAAACACTAAAAGAGCAATTGATTCAGCAAAACAACAAAGAGATCCATTTTGTATATAATAAAAAACTAATAATATTTCTATTAGAAGAAACATTGGCAGGCTTCATGGCTCAAACATAACTGTATTTCACAAGGTTTTAAATCTACTATATTTTTCCATCAGAATAGTTATGATGTGATTAAACTTACTTTACAGAGTTAAAAAAAGACTGATTCTGAAATTACAGTCTCATTGTTGCTCTTTCTCAATTTGTTTTATTCAAAGTTTGTTTTATTTATATAGGCCTATTTTTGGCCTGCAGAGTGCTTCTGGATGCCAGGGAGACTGAAAATGGGACTTACGAGGGTTTGAAAGGCCAAAAATAGGCCTGTATTCACTCTATATGACACACAGACATTTCCACCCACTTTTTTTGGGGGGGGAGGGGGGAGTGCATCTTATAGTCCGAAAAATACAATAATCCTTACTAGTTTAATTTAAAAGCTCATATCAATTCCTAGTTAATTTTCATTATACTTTATTTGATTTTTCAATTTACCCTCATTTCAAAATACTGTATTAAAGACACAGAATGATTAGTGGAAGCTAATGAAAAGCAATTGGCTAATTAAAATCATTTTAAACAATGCCCCAAAATGTTTCTTGAGTTACAAAAAAATATATTACACAGGGTAAATATCCATAATTAAAATCAATTATATGGGATAGAACGGAGTCCTACAGTTGACAGAATGTTTGTATATGAGAGTCAAATCTTTATCTGGCTATGAAGTCCAGTAGGTGAGCTTGGAATTTTTTTAGTTATTCTTCCTGACATGTGCCCTCCAACTGGATTAAAGAATTGTAAAGAATTATCTCCATTGAATTCTACCGGTTAAAGAAATCTCCAATGACTAATCAGCTACCGGTAACTTATAATTAAGCATTTCATTAAGCCTTCACAGAGTTCCACATGGAACAACAATTCTGCTTAGCTGGTGTCATAACAGCCATTCTCAGAAGAGGTGGGTTCCTCCTATGACAAAATGAGGAGCAATGCCTCTTCTAATGGCATCTGTCACCCATATTTTTTTTTAAAAGGTATTAAAAATCATGAATGTTTTTCTTTTAAAATCTACTGCTTAATAACAAATGCTTGCTCTACCAAACTATTAAAAATGAGTAAATACTGCAGAAGTAGATACAAATAATGTCTTATAAACTTTATATTAATCAGAAATACATTCTAAAGATTTACGGTTATATATTAAAAGCCTAAAAGTATACTAAAATCAAACTGCTACTGCCAAAGATACCTATTAAAACTTAGAATTCAGAAAACATTTTACTTCTGAATTATTTTGATACAGTGACTCAATCCATTCAATATTTTCCTAAGAAAATCAAAATTTTGCAATGCAAATTGTTTTCAGAGCACCAACCTCATTTATTGAAAAGTTGTGATAAGACATACCTTGTAATGTCAAAAGGAAAGCAGAATTTAGGTATACTCTGGAGGATTGCCTGTAAAAGCAAAAATAAAAACAAAAAATGTTATACGTATTTAACAATTATCTGAATATGCCTGTAACTTTTTTCTCAGAAAAAAATCAAACAATATTTGATAGGAAGAGGAAACTGCTGCATGTTCCTGGATCAAAATAATTGATTATTAAAAAGGAATTAAGTTTGTGCTTTGGCAGATTGCAAAGACAATACCATAGAAACCCCAGGAGGGAAAGGCCTGGCCTGAAGGGTATTAACACCCTTCACATCCCTGCTGGGATTCCCTTCAACAAGGCCATATGGATTTTACAAGAAACACCGTACCATATGGGTAGGCCACGTCTGGTGCTACTTGTACTACAGACTAGCCATAGGGACTTCTGATGGATCCTGGCTCAAAAATACAAATGTTGTTTCAATTAAAATACAAACAGAGGAAAGGGAACTAAGTTGACAGCATATACATTTTATGAGCAAATGTTTTTAAAAGCTGGAACTTTTCATTTGTTATGGACAGAGTTAACCCTTTAGGATAGCAGCAAGGTTCAAAATTACCTGCCAATTAAAAAGAAAAGAAAAAGAAAAAGAAAATACCTGTAATTTTATAGAAATAATACACCTATTTCTTCCTGTTGGGTTTGACATGCTCAGTGACACTTTTCTAATTACACGAATGGCATATACTGGTTTGAAAATTTATTGGTTTTTTTGAAAGTTTTATTTGGGTTTTCACAAAAACAAAATACAAATAAAACATCTTTTTTGAAAATAGCATGGTCCCAGGTTATCACTTCTTCATACAGACACCAAACTCAATTTCATGCTCATTTTTATATTCTATTCCATATCTTATTACCGTTTTATATTTTCTACATAGTTTTTTCCCCCCTCTTTTAATTTTCTCAACTTTGTTTTAATTATCTCATCTCAGTTCAAATCATTATATCTATACTTTTGTCTGTCCTGTTTCAATTTCACATTATCTTTTCTTATTAAGCAAATTTTTCCCTGTAATTACCAATTAGAGTATGACACCTTTATATCCTTTAATTTTATCCATTCAAACTCTTATTTAAGCTTCAATGTATACTTTTAAGATTATAGCATTCAATATAATACATAACTTCCAATCGAATTCTGCTTGGCACATTCTTAAAATACACACTATATTCTTAAAAAGAAAAAATTATATATATATGTAAATAAAGCACACATTCCATTCCAATTCAATTCTATCATTAATATTCATTAAAATCTTAACATCTTTAACATTTCTTTTCGATTAAATGTCATACTTCCTTGGGAACACTTATAAACTTTCCATAGTTAATTCTTTTTTTCCCATATTTCTCACTTATATTTTTATAAATCATTACTAATAATCAAAAATGTTCCAATTTAATTCTCTCAATATTTTAATTCATTTATTTATTACCAAACATTCAACTACATTACAGTAAATATTTTATCCATCATTTTAATCATATTTTCTAAAATTATTTCTGTTTATAATATAACAATGCTATCTTGTGTACCTTTGCAGAATCCCTTTTGCAATTAAATTTTCACCCATTATCTCTAAACAAGCTTATATCCTTATATCTTTTCCCTGTTTCTCCATTTCTTGTTTCTGTCTTTTACAACTTCTTTTCCTTGCCTTCTTCCCCCTCTTCATCTCCCTCCCCTTTTTACCCCCTCGTCTCTCTACTTCTAACTCTCTCATCTGTAATCCCCTCTTCTGTTGCTTTCTAATATTATATTTATCTTTCAAATTCTTCTTCTTCTTTTTGGTTGTTTTTCTAGTCTTAAACCTTTCACTCTCTTTCCCCCCTTTTCATTTTTTCCCCCACTTAAAATTATTTGATCATTAAAGATGGCTTCTTCTTTGTCCCAATCTTCTTGTTCTGCAAGCGTTTCTTGTTGTTTCTCATAGTTCCAGATCTCCATTTGTAAGAATTGAAATACGAAGCCAAAAGAACCTCTCCCTTCTTGTGCATCTTCTTTCCATTATTCCATTTTTTAAGTTCCATTTTCAGTTCTTCTAAGAGTGATACCATTTTAAAGACTTTTAAACAACCACCTATTTGTTGCTTTTGCTGTTTGACCCAGTCAATCAAAACTTTCTCTTCTTATCTTCCTCCTGTACATTCTTTTCTGGTTGAGTTCTTCTTTGTGGTGGCCATTTCTGACCACCGCTACAACCGCCTTCGGAAAAGGGAGTAATGGCCAGCTGGGGAGGAGAGATGCGGCTCTCCTCAACCCTGAAGGCAGTCTCCCCCTTCTTCACCACCTCTACAGGGTGGCTTAGCCCCGAAACCAGCCGGAGATGAGGTTTCAGTCTGTCGGTGAAGAAGCTCAAACCGGAAGCCACTGGTTTGAAAATTTATTATAAAGTGAAGAAAATTAGTAGAATAAAGATAGCAGTTATAACTATCTAGAGTTCAATGCCACTATGACAAAACAAGAAATAGGATTGGTGCCATTCCCTTATTTTCAGCTATATGGTACCAATATTCACACAAAATTAAACTGTTTTTTTGTGACATTAAGGTAAGATTACTGAAAAGATTAATGTTATAATGAAGAAAGATTTCTGCTTGAACATGTACAATCTAAGCTCTAACAGAGGTCTGACAGGATGTTGTATCGGACATGGCAGTTATGTTATCTCTGCATTTTCACACAGGCAGAAGACGGCTAGGTAAGTAAATTTACTGCAATAATTAGGAAGCCATATACATGAAGATCTCGTCCATCTAACAACACTCTAGTATCCTGTCCTCCATGTAAATATTATTTGCCAGGTTTAAATGCTGGACCACTTCCTTCCAAATCAATAGCTGTTAGCTGCTCCTTTCCCACCCTGAAATTTCCTGCCATCCATTTTGTCTTAACAAAATGGCTTCCTCAAGCAGGACAATCAGAGCAGTGGTGGGATTCAAAAGGGTTTACTACTGGTTCTGTGGGCGTGGCTTGGTGGGCATGGCAGGGGAAAGATACTATAAAATCTCCATTTCCAGCCCACTCCAGGGGAAGGATACTGCAAAAATCTCCATTCCCTCCCCATTCCTGGGGAAGGCTAGTGCAAAATCTCTATTCCGTCCCCACTCCTGGGAGAAAGTTACTCAAAAATCCCATTCCCTCCCCACCCCACTAACCTGCTTTCCAGTTCTGTTCTCCTGTACAAGGCAACAAAAGAAGACCCAGCCAATGAGTTGGGACTCGGGAGGCAGAGAATAGATGGGACCAGGGCCAGTCAGAGGTGGTATTTGCCGGTCTCTGAACTACTCAAAAATTCTGCTCCCGGTTCTCCAGAACTGGTCAGAACCTGCTGAATACCACCTCTGAATCAGAGATTCCACCTTGCCTTCTTCAACCCTTACAAGAAGGAAAAAAATTGAAGATTGTTTGGGGGAAAACATACAAGAAGTATTTTCTTTCAGTTACTAATATAAAATTAGTATTTCACGAGGGGAATGGGTAGGAGAAATTTGGAGGAAATTGGCTAGTTACACAGATTCAGGTAGCGTGGCATAAATGTTTCAAAAATCATTGTTTTCTTACTGGATGCACCTTAATTACAGACCCTGCTTAAGAATTTTCCCTCTTCAATGAAAGAAAGGATGTTAGGAAAGCTTGGAAATATGCATCCCATGCTTCATGAGAGCTAATATAGCTGGGAAAAAATATTTCCTACAAGCATGTTTTATGTCCTCAGTTATTAGGATTTGATTAACAACATCAGGCAAAATATACATTTCTCATTATTGGATTTCAGATATATTAAATTAATTGCCATAATCTGTTATTCCTTGGAAAATTTAACTTTCACTAATGTTATGTGGCTATAATTTCATATTACATTTGTGTGAACAAATTCTTTCATATGTTTGCCTAATCTTCCAACTTTGATTTCAGGTTCTAAATCAGTGAAAAATTTTCACTGATACAAATGCAGTGTAAGACCAAAATGAAAACCACAAGAAATTGGTAAAATCACGATAGAAAGAAAAGGAATGGAAAAAAGTGCATGCTCAAAAGCTGGTGACTGTTTTATTAGGTCCTAGTCTCAGCGAGGCAATGCTATAATTTTATTTGGACCTTCCAATATATTTTCAAGAAAGATTGTCTCTTCATTTTATAAAGCATCACTAAAATCAGATTGTCACAATTTACTTAGAGATGGCAAACTAATGCTACCCTCATAAAAAAGAGGCAAAGTAATATATATAATATTTAAACGCTACTCAACTTATTAAGCTTATTATAATAGAGAATGCTGTTTCCTCCCTCTGCCTTCTTCTTCACAGTAATAAATACAAGTTTGTCTTTACCAAACCACCACAAACAATATTTCTTTGCAATATTGATTAGTAAGCACATAAGATTCTATCTCTAAGGAACTGTATTGCAGACATTTGTAACATCCCTGTACGTTTTCTAGTCTTCCATAAAATGAGAATGCACAGAAAAGAGGAAAAACAGATATTATTGTATTTCACTGTAACAGATATATCAGCCCTTGCTGCAACATTGTGAGGGGCAAACTAACTCAATACCTTTCTTTCGATCCTTCCCCCATCTGTGTGTGTGCGTGTGCACAAACACACGTACACACACACACACACACTCTCTTCTGCAAAATATGGCCTCAGCTCGCTTCCCAACTGGCAGGATCATCCCTCAGGGGACAAGTCTTTAAACCTCCGCACTCTTTAAAATTCAGCCAGCCAGCAAGTCTATACACTGGTGTATAAACAGTACACGAGAAAAAAAAAAAATCCCCCCAGCTTATGTCAATGACAAAGCAACTCAGCAGTTGACTGTTTCTCCCCTGACAGTATAAGCCAGATCAATAGATGGAAGGCTACCTAGGCTTGTAAAGATCAGTTCTCTGCTTTAATTACAGGTGTTATTCAGATTTTACAATAAAGGAAATTAACATGTTGTGCAGAATGTTTCTTAGGATTAAATATGCAATCAGCTGAAAAACTAAATTATGGAATATTTGTAGAAAG